GCTTGAGGGATGGCATGTCATTTTGGAGGAGAGTCAGCCTCAGGGGGAGCCACAGCAGCAGGCTTAGCCAGTAGAGCAGACTCAGGAGGCAGAGCAGATAGAGGAGACAGAGCAGGCACCTCAACCACAGTTACGCCGCTCTGGTCGTACTTGTACCCAGGTGACACCGAGGCTAGAGACATAGAGGAGGGGTTCTCGTCCGCCTCCTAGACCATAGGGTCCGCCTCTAGTGACTCATCTAGACTTAGGGCCGCCACGGCCAAGCAAGTGTAGTAGCTCAGGTTTGTGTAGTTTGAGGACTAGTTCCCACCGAGGAGGGAATGAGCGTGCCTCAGAGGGTTTCTATACACCACTGCAGGAGGACTTCTACAATGCTTATCTAAATAGTGGTGTGGCTTTCAGATCATAGAGGGTTTGTTCTATTGAGGCCATTATAGCAGCAGCTGGAGAGCATATCCACCTCATCTCTCTTACTTGCCAGGGTTGACAGACTTACTTGGATGGATAGGTAGATATGTTCCATCATGGGTCCGTGAGTTCTATGCTACACTTTGGATTGACCCAACTCACAGGTTCATACACTTTGCATTCAGAGGCCATGACTATATGCTGATGAGCTTTAGGGTCAGAGAGATCCTCAGGTTATAGGAGTCACCCATCCGCTTTCATGAGGTTTGCTATGGACACATAGAGCCTCCAAGATGCCCTCACGGCGGTCTTGTGCCTCCCACAGATCTCATCCGACCTTGCTTCACAGAGCCATTCGGCGAGGGGTCAAGCAGGACACCCAGGGATCTTACTCCTATAGCTAGACTGCTTGATGCTATCATGAGAAGGACCCTGCTTCCGATGATGGGATATCACGAGGGATTGACTTACATTCAGTTATGGCTACTGAACTCTCTGATGCAGCAGACAATGCTTGATATATGGGATGTTATTCTTTCTGAGATGGAGGATACACTTGTAGAGAGATTTAGAGGTCACAGGCAGCTACCATCTGCTCACTGGATCACATTTTTTATTCATAGGGCAATCATAGTGAGGCCTCCTGAGATGTTGGCAGAGTATTCTGGTTCTACTACCAAGTTTCTAGCTTATACCATGACTCAGATGCTCTATCATAGCAGAGTGAGGACACCTAGCCAGTCACGCCATCGCCCAGAGGTGCCAGAGTCTATAGCCCAGCTGGATGAGATTATCAGTGGCATTGCAGCAACAGAGGAGGAGGAGCTAGATGCACAGCAGGAGGGTATGGTTGAGAGTGATCCTAGTGATAGCTCAGATGATGATTATCAGGCTATTCCTAAGATGCCTCCATGACGACATGACAGTGAGGCCAGTGGCTCTAGCTCTGCTCCACAGGCACCACAGATAGACCCCGCTCTTCTTCCGATTCTTGATCGGATGAGGCAGGATTAGGCTCACTAGGCCCAGGAGACAGCAACTGCTCTAGCACAGGTTTAGGCTAGATAGGATGAGTTCTAGTGACAGCAGCAGGCTATACAGCAGTAGCAGCAGGCCATGCAACAGCAATAGCTCCTCATTCAGTAGCAGTTACTTGGTTTCATGCAGCATGTCGTTACTGCTATTGGAGCTCCATCACCATAGATTACACCTTAGCTCGGCTAGCCTGCCACCACTACAGTGACTCCAGGTTTTTAGCCCAGTGGGCTTCAGAGTCAGGGACAGCCAGCTACCATGTTCGCTTCACCTATAGAGCATGTGTCCTAGTGGTTTGCTTCGCCAGTGCTAGCCTAGGGTCTTTCCTTCACACCTCTTCATATGGGCTTCACACCGGCTCGGAGTTCGTCGATGCTTGTGATAGACACCCCAGTTTCCAGGAGCCTTGGTGCTACTTTTAGTGAGTTGACAGGGCAGCCTACACCACTAGAGCTACGTGTCCCTGGACCTTCCACCGTTGCTCCAGTTACTGGGACTACAGAGACGCTCCCATCATCAGTTGCATCATCCGAGCCACCTGCTACAGTCATACCTACAAAGTCACAGGTCGCACCAGTTCTAGAGCAGACCAAGACCGCTTGAGCATCACTTACAGCGACAGAGGGTCAGACAGCTCAAAGCTCTAGATCAGAGGATGATGCTACCCAGTTCTACATCGCTCATCGCACCTCAGCGCCCAACTCGTCCGCTGCTGCCCCAATGACAGACCCTTAGGTTTTGGTGCTTGATGCCAAAGGGGGAGAGGGATCGAGTATGATAGATTTAGAGGGAGTGATATATCTAGGGGGAGCTTATTTATTACATTTGGCTTTTTATGTGTGATACATTATTATGCATTCATGTTTACTTTCATGCATTGAACTACATACGTGTGATCATGATATTTATGTGATATGTGACATGTGTGCTCTCTACTTTGATCTTTATATATGTCATGTCACTTGGTCATGCTCATTTGCCTTGCTTCCGTGTTTTACTCCGATGCAAATGAGCTTTATTTCTTGTACTCTTGCTTATTTCATATCTATTGAGTACATCATGTTGGCTTGGGTCATATAAGCTTGCCCAACTCTTTTGTTTTTATTGTCAAAAGCTTATATGAACCAAGCATGTTGAAAACCTCATCTCTTTTACATACTCGAGGTTGTATTGTCATCAATCACCAAAAATGGGGAGATTGAAATCATCTAGGCCCCTAGTTAGGTTTCGGTGATTAATGAGAATATGTGATTACTATGACTAACGTGTGTTTTGCGTAGATAAATTAAGTTAGGTCATGGTAATGTCAATTGATTGGGCAATCATGGTTGTCATGCCCCTACGATGGAAATCATTTCGGTTTTCAAAGGATGGACGACAAGGTTAAGAATGGACTAGTTCTAAGTTTCGTTTGGTGTTGAAGAGACACTTAGAGTAGTTTAGGACTTTGTTTTTCCTTTGGTCGTACTATTAAGGGGGGTATGAATTAGTAGCTTGACCTAGGTAAGGCTAGTGGGTTAGGTGTGGTGCACACTTGTCAAATCTAGCACTAGGTAGCTCCAAAGTAGCCCTAAGATCAATTGGAGAAAACTTCATTCACATATGATCTCGAGTTGGAAGTGAATAGAGGGTCAAATATTGACCGGACGCTGGTCCCGGTATGACCGGACGCTGGCAGTAGAGTCCGATCAGTTCATTTGATCAAGTGAAGTCATCTGGATGCGACCGGACGCTGAGTGAAAAGTGATAGGACGCTGGGTGCCAGAGTTTGGTCAACTCCAGTAAGGTTCTAGAGAGGGAGAATCCTAATCGGACGTGTCCGGTCAGTGCTGACTAGATGTTGGTCAGGTTCCGGTTACTGACCGGACGCTGAACAGCGAAATGATCGAACTCTAGGCTAGAGCGTTCGGTCAACATCAGTAAGGGTCCAGAGAGCAGTTTTTGTGACCGGACACGTTCGATCAGTGCTGACCGAAAGCAGGTCGGAGTCTGGTCACAACTTAGCGGCTTTGTGGCGGGGAGAACTGACTGGAGCGTCCGATCACCTTGACCAGAGCATCCGGTCACCCCGTAGAGTGTTGACTCAAGCACATAACGGTTCGTTTTGAATGAGGGGATATAAATACTTCCTCTATTCATTCAAGGGAGTACTCTTGCCCATTTCAACAGCTGAGAAACACCCTTGAGAGTGCTTAGGAGAGCAAGAGCCTAGTGAGGTGATTGAGATTTGAGAATCCAAGATTAAGGCCTCATTAGTGAAAAGAGAGTAGCAAGTGTGCATCCACCCATCTCATTAGGCTTGTTGAGGTCAAGTGAGAGTTCTTGCTTGTTACTCTTGGTGATCGCCATGACCTAGACGGCTTGGTGGTGATTGGGACTTTGGTGATCATCCGACGGAGCTTGTGGATAACCCAACTCAAGTTGTGAGCGGTTGTGGGTGATTCACCACGATGAAGTGTCGAAGAATCAACCCGTAGAGAGCACTTGATCCTTGCGTGGATCAAGGGAGAGCTACAACCTTGCGCGGGTGCTCCAATGAGGACTAGTGGGGAGTGGTGACTCTCCGATACCTCATCAAAACATGGTCGTGTTCCTTCTCCTCTCTTTACTTTAAGCATTTACATTTGAGCAATTCAATTCTTGTCTTTACTTTCTTAGAATTGCCATGCTAGAGTAGGATTGGAACTTAGGGTGCTTAACTTTTATGCGGTAGATAAATAGAATCACATTCTAGGCACAAGGGGTGAAGTGGGCTAACTATAGGGTTTAATTATTGCAAAGAATTTTAGAATTATCCCAATTCACCCCCCCTCTTGGGCATCTTGATCCTTTCACTCTCAACCGATTTTTCTTTAATTTATTCATGGGATAATAATTTAAACTTCATATTCATCATGAATTTTATTGACCAAGAAGTTCTATACTTTGTTGTTTCCAATTTGGAAACTGTTACCGATAGGGTCCAGCAAATTCAATGACCTTGGAGTTGTCAAGTTCATGGTCTCCAAAGATTTCCTGATATGTTAGCAATATTATGGTGGCCTCCACAATTTGGTTTCTAGTTAAAAAACATATGCACCAAGTATTTACTAAAAATTATAATTAAGAGGTAAGACTTACTGCGAACAACTTTAGAGGCACATATAGGTTTCTTGATGAAATTATATTAAGTTTTGCTTGGTATATGTACACCTGATTTGAATGGCCATGGTCAAAGCATATGTGCCCGTCTCTTCTCAAAATAACATACCACAGATGCAAGTACTCAACTGTAAGCTCGTACAAACACATCTATCTTCTAAACACACATACACACACAAATGAGAACATTCAAGAGGTCGGGCTCACACATCTTTAGATTGATGACGTAATGTGGTATGGTCTATGTATTAACTAAGCATGTGTCTTTAATTATGAATTGATATTTTCAATTGTATATATGAAGAACACACTTAAGAAATAGACTCAGATAAATCTCAATCAATATATTAATTATTTCAAGGAAGTTGCACATGCCGATATGAGAGCTTTGTTATCAAGTGCATCTCATATGTAATCTAGAAGATGGCACCTCCAACGATGGGTTGCTGCCATGACAAGGCAGGGTTTATCAAAGATATCTGGTTGAATGGCAACAATTGTTGTTGTTGCAAGAAGGCGGCAGCCAATGGGTTAGCAACTGCCAGTGGGTTTACTAACACTAGTTGCAATTGTTGCACGTATGCAGCGGTGTTCGCCACAGCCAGTTGGTTGAATGGAAGCAACTGTTGCAAGTAGGCAGCAGGGTTCACCATGGCTAGATGACTGAGTGCTGGTAGGATCTATTGCAGTTGTTGTTGTTGCAGCTATGCATCAGCGTTGGCCGCAACTAGTGGGTTGGATGGAAGCAACTATTGTCGTTGTAGGTAGGCGACAGGGTTCACCACAGCTAGTTGACTGAGTGCCGGCAGGAACGATTGCTGCTATTGCGCTGCAATGGTTTGTACGGATAGATGGGCCAAGGATTGTTGTTGCAATTGGGCAATTGGTTGTTGTAAGATGCTCGCCTCAAGCGCCTGCTACGCCTGGACAGCTGGGTGTTCGAACCCCATAGCACTAACTAGTGGGAGGAACTGTGGAATAACAGCATTAGGAGCAAGTGAGCACTGTGGAATAATGACCGCGGTTGCAGCGCTCATTGAAAGAGCAAGGAGCGCAAGGAGGGCAAATATCTTGGTAGCCATTGTTGCGAGGACGTTGCTAGTGCGTTTCACTTGGTATGTTTTTGATTAATCTCAATAGTATGGGAGATGGATTAGCTACTGATTTGGGGGCTATTTATACAGGTTAGAGCTCATGTATATCTATTTAGATTTTGGCTTTTGCCAAGCAAGATATAAGCTATAGATGACATGCGCCTAGTTGATTTCAACATTTAGTTATCAATTTTATTGGATTATATGGTCTGTGTACGAAAGACACTTTCCACTACGTATAATATAAAAGTGTCCTTTTTATTGGAATTCTTTTGATACATGAGGGATGACATGCATGATCAATTCACATTTACACATGTTATAGCCTTAGCCACATCATAAATGTTCCACTTTATAAACATGAGTATGTAAAGTTATGACTTGCTCATGTGTATCAAGGCCTTTATCAACAGAATTTGTTGTAGTATTGTACTCATGGTTAAAGCATGCACGGTAGTTAGGTGACAAGTTATTCATCAATGAATGAACAAATGCTACAAGATCGAGACTAAATGAAATTCCAGCATGTACAGATGCATGCACACAAAAAAATTTCAAAATTAGAATGCTTATCGCTAAACATGGCAATTGCCTCACACTCTCTATGTTCTTGATTAAAATTTACATTAGTATTGTTTAAAACCAATCTTGTATAACTTTGACAAAGTTTTGAATACACTCTGACGACAAAAACACTATCATACATATGTCATAAGCTTGTATAACCTTGACAAAGTTTTGAATACACTTTGATGACAAAAACACTATAATACATATGTCATAAGTTATTCAAAGAAACAAACTTGATGTTCACAATTTTGGATAGATTTCCTAGGAAGTATGTCAAAGTTAGGGAAAAGCTAGAGCATGTTATAAACCTGAGCGGAGGGGTATATGTTGAACTCTAGCTCTTGATTAAAATAGATGTACATCTAGCTTTTACAAATGTCAAAGTTAACTTGTTCCCATACAAAATGGAGAATGACAATATTTATGTAACTTTCATTCCTTCCACTGGCTATGATATGAGTCTACCCTTCAATATAGAGATGAAGAGGGCCATGGCCAACATCCTAGCTGTCTGAAACATCAGTTAGGGCTCAAAGGCATAGACCCATTAAGGAAAAAAGACAACATGATCATTAATGTAAACCTTTCTCAGCAATGCTACAAAAACTCAAGAAAAAAAGAGACTAAGATGGAGGCAATCTTTGATATTTCTATCAAAAAACTACAAGATCCAAACTTGAAGTTCCATGACAACACACTCCATATTCCTTTTTGCAAGAACAATGTGCCATGGGTACATATATTTAATTCCTCGGAGTCTACTTGAAGAGATTTTGCCTTTCCCTACACACGAGTTGAATCTCGTGTCAAAGAAGAAGATCGAGAACATTGGGTTGATAAGCTTAATCACTAGGACTGGGCACCTATTTTAGGCTAAGGAAAACCAATATGGCTACAAATATTTTAAAAACAACTTCCGTTGACACATAATCGAAGTGAGGGAAAACTCTTCATGGCTTCCTTTCCTATTCCTTTTTTTATTTGTGAATGAATTAATTACATGAGTCTATATAATTTGTGTCATGGGTTCTCATATAGATGTGATAAGTTATTCCTTCCGTTTTTATATGGCATTTTTTTGTAGGCCCAGTGTTATGAGCTATGCCTTGTAAACTGTCATGTTGGTAATAAACTTCTTAATTTTGTTAGATTTAACATTTCAGAATATGCCCTTTGTCACATGCTACACATAGGAAATTGCAATCCATTGGACTAAGCTAGGAGTCAAAATGCACTCCAAGTGGGTTCTCTCCACAAAATTGTAGGCTGGGGTGGCCGGTTGGTACTTCAATCTTGGGGCTTCAATTTTGGATTTAGATATCCCAAATCTAAATATTATTTTAGTGGCTGTGGTGTCATCAGCAAGGATCCCATCTTTGGTAATGCTACCTAGTAGAAAAGTGAGCTAGCATGTTGAGCAGCCAATTCTACACAAGTTTGATTTCCCTCAACAAAATTTTCTTTAATTTATTCATGGATAATAATTTAAACTTCATATTCATCATAAATTTTATCGACCAAGAAGTTCCGTAATTTATTGTTACCAACATGGAAATTGTTACTGATAGGGTCCAACTGATTTAATGACCTTGGAGTTGTTAAGTTCGTGGTCTCCAAAGATTTTCTAATATGTCTACAATATTATGGTGGCCTCCACAATTTGGGTTCTAGTTAAAAACATACGCGTCGAGTATTTACTAAAAATTATAATTAAGAGGTAAGACTTTGCGTGAAACATATAGCTAGGTTTACTGATGAACTTATATTAAGTTTCGCTTGGTATATGTACACCAGATTTGAATGGACATGGTCAAAGCATACGTGCCCATCTCTTTCTCAAAAGAACATATCACATATGCAAGTACTCAACTGCAAGCTCGTACAAACACATCTATCTTCTAAACACACACACACACACACAAATGATAACATTCAAGAGGTCTAGCTCACACATCTTTAGATTGATGATGTAACGTGGTATTGTCTATGTATTAACCAAGCATGTGTCTTTAATTATGATTTGATATTTTTAATTGTATATACAAAGAACACAGTTAAGAAATAGACTCAAATAAATCTCAATCAATATATTGATTATTTCAAGGAAGTTGCACAGGCCGGTATGAGAGCTTTGTTATCAAATGCATCTCATATGTAATCATGTAATCTAGAAGATGGCACCTCCAATGATGGGTTGCTGCCACGACAAGGCAAGGTTCATCAAAGATATCTGGTTGAATGGCAACCACTGTTATTGCTGCAAGAAGGCAGCAACCATTGGGTTAGCAATTGCTAGTGGGTTTACTGATAGTAGCTGTTGTTGTTGTAGGTATGCAGCGGTGTTCGCCACAACCAGTTGGTTTAATGGGAGCAATTGTTGTTGTTGCAAGTAGGCGGCAGGGTTCACCACGACTAAATGACTGAGCGCTGGTAGGATTTGTTGCAGCTGTTGTTGTTGCAGGTAAGCAGCAGCGTTGGCTGCAACCTATGGGTTGGATGGAAGCAACTGTTGCTGTTGCAGGTAGGCGATAGGGTTCGCCATGGCTATTTGATTGAGCGCTGATAGGAACTGTTGCAACCGTTGTTGCTGCTGGTATGCAGCAGCGTTCGCCACAGCCAGTGGGTTGGATGCAAGCAGCTACTGTTGCAAGTAGGCAACAGGGTTTGCCACGGCTAGTTGATTGAGTGCCGACAGGAACTGTTGCTGCTGTTGTGCTGTAATGGTCTGTGCGGATAGATGGGCCAAGGATTTCTATTGCAACTGGGCGATTGGTTGTTGTGAGATGCTCACCGCAAGCGCCTGTTGTAGCCTATAGGCCTAGACAGCTGGGTGTTCGAACCCCATAACACTAACTGGTGGGAGGAACTGTGGAATAACAACATTAGGAGCAAGTGAGCACTGTGGAATAATGACCGCGGTTGCAGTGCTCATTGAAAGAGCAAGGAGCGCAAGGAGGGCAAATATCTTGGTAGCCATTGTTGTGAGGACGTTGCTAGTGCGTTTCACTTGGTATGTTTCTGATTGATTTCAATGGTATGGGCGATGGATTAGCTACTGATTTGGGGGCTATTTATACAGGTTAGAGCTCATGTATATCTAGTTAGATTTTGGCTTTTGCCAACCAACAGATAAGCTATAGATGACATGGCGCCTAGTCGATTTCGACATTTAGTTATCAATTTCATTGGATTATATGGTCTATGTAGGAAAGACACTTTCCACCACGTACAATATAAAAGTGTCCTTTTTATTGGATTTCTTTTGATACATGAGGGATGACATGCATGATCAATTCACGTTTACACATGTTATGGCCTTAGCCACATCATAAATGTTCCACTTTATAAACATGAGTATGTAAAGTTATGACTTGTTCATGTGTATCAAGGCCTTTATCAACATACTTTGTTGTAGTATTGTACTCATGGTTAAAGCATGCATGGTAGTCAGGTGACAAGTTATTCATCAATGAATGAACAAATGCTACAAGATCGAGACTAAATGAAATTCCAGTATGTACAAATGCATGCACACATTTTTTTTTCAAAATTAGAATACTTATAGCTAAACATGGCAATTGCCTCACACTCCCTATGTTCTTGATTAAAATTTACTTTAGTATTATCTAAAACCAATCATGTATAACTTTGACAAAGTTTTAAATACACTTTGATGACATAAAAACACTATCATACATATGTCATAAGTTATTCAAAGAAACAAACTTGATGTTCAAAATTTTGGATAGATTTCCTAGGAAGTCTGTCAAAGTTACAGAAAATTAACTTAGGGAAAAGCTAGAGCATTTATATCTAGTTAGATTTTGGCTTTTGTCAAACAACGGATAAGCTATAGATGACATGGCACCTAGTCAACTTCAACATTTAGTTATCAATTTTATTGGATTATATGGTCTAGGAAAGGCAGTTTCCACTGCATACAAGAAATAGTGTCCTTTTTTATTGGAATTTTTTTGATACATTAGGAATGACATGCCCTTCCCTATTTAGTTTCTCTGTCTTGAAATATAATGTGTAAGTCAAACTAACCTAAATTTAACTAGTTTATAGAAAAGATTGTTAAACTTTAGGACGTCAATGAATCAAAGAGGTAAACTATAAAAATACATTTGATAATGTATCTTATATTGGTTATAGTTTTTTTCTAAAACTTCATCAAACATCGGATAATTTGAATTAGGACAACTCAATACCCACTGTATTGTAGGACTGAAGAAGTAAGTCGAACGCACCACATCTGTGACTTGTGACTTATGAGATTTTCAAAGAAACACCAATGGTGATCTGACATTTTGTAACAATTCATAGATTCATCCATACAAAAGAGCACGTCTATACAACACTTGATAGGTCGTTTGCAGCACTCCTTCGAGCAGTTTCTGTATGAGAATCTTGCTCAACCAAATAGGAAAAGGTTGCACAGATTCTACTGACGATCAGACTAGAATCGCTTTCTCCATTTACACCAGGAGCTGGGAGCAAAAAAATCCCACTCATCACCGCCCCATATTCATCCCCACCAGAATCACTTTCGACGTGCTCTCCCATGTGAACCACACTATCAGAGAAACTAGCTAAGAGCTGGAGCTAAGGATCAGGGAGCAAAACTTTACCGAACATGCTTGGATGTTTTAGGCTCAACACTTTATTTTTCATGCCTGACCACTATCTATGTTTTCCTCAAAGAAAAACAACTATCTATGTTCCATAGAATAAAGACACATAGATGAGTTAAGCATACAAAAGTGAACATACATTGGCCTCATAGTTCGTGAGGTAGATCTAGAAAACACCAAGAGTGTTCGGGAGAGCTATTTTATTATTGTTTTGTTTTTTTCACTATATAAGAATGGATATTTAAACTACATTATTTTAGCCTACTGACTCTAAATTTGATGTGGAACTCAGAGCTAGAGACGTGGCAATGAGGCTATATTATGGCAAGCTGGAAAAGACAAACCCGAACAAAATGTGATGAAAATAGTATAAAAAGAAACCTAACTGGTGGTTTTATGTTTTGGAGATTTCAAACACTCCATTTGATTGGCACTTCCCTTTTGCAAAGAGAGGGAGGGAGGGAGGGAGGGAGAGAGAATCCTAACTGACTTCAAGCTTTGGAAATTTCGGACATTCTGGCCAGAACTTTTGATATTCTCATCCAAACTTCTAGTGTGCATTGTGAGGCGAGTTTTGTGAAGTTTTCTTGATCTTTGTTTGTGCTTCTATATCACTTCTAGCTCTCCCGACCACATGGTTAGCACATCATCAAGAGACATGGGTGTTCTTGGTAGAGCGAGAAGAGAAGCGTATTGGGTTGAAATTTTGAGACATAAGCCTCATTCTCTCGAGAAGAATTTATAGGTTCTCATTCATACCCTCTCTTTTGGTCTTTCACATGAACTCGCCTCGAGTCCCGTCAGTGGTCCAAACGAGTGCCTACCCAACCGGTTTGTTTATGTGGCATACCAACATGGAACACCCTTGGACATAGCGATGCATTTTTTATAGACCCATGAATATATTGATGTAGAAGTAGAAGTAACAACGTCACCTTCCTGCTTGGGTAGATGTAGAAGTAGCAGCAAGCGTTCTCAGTCATCCCTCCTGTAGTGCCTTCACCTTTCGAGAATGGCATTCCGTATACACAATGAGAGGGAGCATCACGGGTCCCAAGATCAAGTCAGCCCTAACAAATTCGAGCTCACTATGGCGACCAAAACATTGTAAAAGGCAGGATTAGGCGAGGATATGATGATTGGTGGTGGGATTAACGCGGATGAGGGATCTAAGTACCTACAACTTGCCACTATCGGCTCAGGATCGATGTATACTAGGGTTGGATCCCGACGACGCGCAAAAGGGGCGATGGGAAAGTGAGGGAGAGAGAAGCAAGGAGAGGGGGCTCAGTGCCTTAGAGCATTTCCTAGAGACTCTTTATATCTTTCCTAATTTACAAGAATAGGGGTTTTGGTAAAAAAAAAATTCTCCAACGGTCTCTTTAATTGGATCGTGACTAGGGGCTCATGTTGGGTTTCAACTCTAGCCTACCCTAATTTGCTTGGAACTAAAAGACTTTGTTGTTGTTGTTGGTCTCTTCAATTGGATATCCAAATATAGACATCCTCTATTTTGGATTTCTCGCTAGCCAAAGATGAAGAGCGGGGTTAACTCTCTAGACTGCGCATATAAAATATAGAAAAACTGTTGGAGAGCACAAAGATATAGAAAGCGATTTTTACTCAAATAAGTCTCCAAATGATGAATTTAGAGAATCGATTTTAGAAAGACTCGTGGAGATGCTCTTATGGTCACGGATGGGATGAGGTTTCGGAAAAAAAAAATGCATGTATAGGTAAGGGATTCTATGTTAGCATGCCACGTTGACGAACGGGTTGGGTGTACGCTTTGTAGCATTGATGGGACCCGGGATGAGTTTCTGTACCTAGAAATAAAAAAATGGGAGTTTGAGACTGGGATGGTATCACCGCACAAAAGTTTAGAGACCACAAATAAATTTCACTTAAAAAAAAAAGGAAACACGCCACTAAGTAACAGTGTTAGTGTTTAGGGAAAAGGAACACACAGTGCATCATGCATCGACCTTGACTTTGGACTACATTCATACGAACAGATCGATGAATTCATGGCCGTATGGCACATGTAGGCTACTGTACAAGTGAACAAGCAGGAACATGTTCTACAATCGGCCAGTGCAGTTACATTACACCTCGATCTCCAAGGGCGTGAATCCCTGAACATCGTCGTCGCCGGAGGCGACCCCGCACTTGCGCTTCAGGTGTTCCTCCTCTTCGCCGGCTTCCGGCGGCAGCCGCACGTACGCTGTCTCCGCAGGATACATCCTGCACACGTTGACGTAGAGCACGACGACAAAAACCGTCATGAAGGATAGGTACCACCCGAACTGTAGGTTGGCGAGCGCCTTGGCGCGGTGCAGACTGGCCTCGCTGTGGCAGCGCACGGTGTAGCGGCCGTCCTCCTCCACGAGCGAGCAGCCCTTGGGCACACGGCTCGGGACCCACACCATGGCGCCGATGACGATGAGCCACACCCCGTGGAACGTGACGCACGCGGATCGGACCAGGCCCACGACAAAGCTCCGCGGGAAGGCGATGCCCAGGAGCGCCGTGACGAGGCAGGCGGCGACCACGAGCTGCAGTAGCCAGTGGAACTGGCCCTCGAGGCCGGCGTGGTCGGTGGAGTGGAAGTGGAACACGAGCAGCTCCTGCGCGAAGACGGCCGCGACGAGGAGAAGGGAGAGCGCGTCGCGGCACCGCGCGCGGGCGCGGTCGAGGTGCAGCGCGGAGGCCGCGTAGACGAGGAGCGCGAGGCAGATGATGGCGTGCTCGTGGTTGTGCAGGCGGTCCGACGGGATGGAGCCGTCGGCATCGAACGGTAGGAAGGTGGAGTGGTCCACGAACATCTCCATAGAGAACTCGACGGCGCTGCCGGCGATGACGAGGATGAGCTCGAGGTGGCGGACGCGCGGCGCCGGGAACCAGACAGGCGCGACGTACGCGTCAGGGCGCAGCGAGAAGAGCCTGATGTGGTTGAACAGGTGCCACAGGCCGACGGCCAGGAAGCCGGCGCCGGGAAGGATGTGGCCGATGCTGCTGCGCGGAGTGCCGCCCATTGCTCGATCGCCGGTCGGCCGGTGGTTGGTTGCAACGGAAACTGGTCGGGGGTCAATAATGGCTTTGCTCGATGTTTTCTTGGGGTGCTCGCCTCGCGATCGATCGATCAGCTTTTGTGAGGCTCAAAAGGTGGACGTGTACGCTGGGCGAGAGGGGTTGGTCCAGTCCATCAATGGCGGGAGGGAGGGACGTTGAGTAAGTGACAATGATGCGGAGGAGTTGCTTTTACGACAGTGTACACTCGGTCGTGTCGTGTGTAGCGGTTTGAACGGAACTATCCTTGATTCCTTGTTGCTGCCTGCGGTATTCATTACATCATTTCTGTTCCGACTACTTCAGCGAGCACCTGGGCCATTGCCCCGAACTCCTGGCCTTCGTCCCCCACCATGCCATGCCGTCATCCTCATCCCGTGCCACCTCGACGGCCATCTTCTTCTCCACCAGATGCCTGGCGTTGAGGCCCTGGTCGAACAGAAGCGGCAGCAGCACTAGCCTGACGCCGCGCGCTAGGCCCTCCGTAACAGAGTTCCAGCCGGCGTGCGTCACGAATCCCCCGACCGATCTGTGGGCCAGGAACCTGACCTGAGGCACCCAGCCGCGGCAGACGAGTCCCCAGCCATTGACCCGCTCCTCGAAGCCTTCCGGCAACAACCCGGCCGTGCCGTCTATGGCATCCGGGTCCGCCGGGGCCCTGTATGCCCAGAGGAACAGCGTGCCGGAAGCCTCCAGGCCGAGCGCTATTGCCTGCAGCTGTGCCCCCGTCAACTTGGCTTCGCTGCCGAAGGCCACGTACACGACGGAGCGCGGCGCCTGTCTGTCGAGCCACTGTAGCGTTGCCTCGTGGCTGGCGACGTCTTGTGTTAGTGGCGGAGGGAACAGCCCGAGCGGGATCACCGGCTTCTGGTAGAGCTCGCCGACCAGCTGCAGCCACTCCGGCTCCTGCTGCTCCTGACTCCCACGATCGGGCTGCCTGGCTCCCTTCGATGGACTTGGCGATCCGGTAGCCCTCCGATACTTCGTCGTCCTCCGGGATGATGCCTGGCTTGAAAGTCGTGCGGCGACCTCGTGGCCTCGGAAAGCGACGGTGGTCCGGAAGGGCACGTAATCGGTGACCGCGGTGAGTTGCTCCAACTTGGTCTTCGCGTGCTCTCCACGACCCATGATATGAGCACCTCCGGGGGACCGAAGAAGCCGAGAACCGCGGCTCGGAACAGCTTCAGGAACGCGCACGGCACGCCGTGCCTCGCGGCGGCCGCGGGCGCCCACTACGCCGCGTAGTCAATGAGCACCCAGTCAGGCCTGGACGGCTCCGGCCCCTGCAGGATCTCTGAAAGCTTGGCAGAGAATGCGGCATCGTAGGCTCGGTGCAGACAGGGCCGCAGATCGTCGGAGTGGAGGTCGATGGTCGCCTCGGCGTCCTCCGGCAAGCGCTCAACGCGAGGCAGGGGGACGTCCACGACATGGACAAGGCCATCGAGACCAGGAGGGGGGTGGGCCGAGCCTTTCCTTCCCTTCTACGCCAACTTATTATAAGCTGCTGGTCGTTACAAGCCCCACCTGGGCCTCACCAAATGGGCCAAGCCCACTAGCATTACCCAACAGGACCTGCAAACCTTCTTAAAACCCCATTCCCATGAACCGTTCAACACACACTCCAAAGTCAGCTCTTCACACGCCACCATAACTCTCATCTCTCCACACGAGTGCTTCACGTAGAGAAGAGCCATGGGCACCCTCGTCGGGCACGTCGCGCCAGGCGCCGGCTTCCTCCTTATCGGCCTGTGGCAGTTGTTCAGCCACATCCGACTCTTCTTGCTGCGGCCGGGCTCCTACGCGGCGCCGGTATGGTTCCCGGTCCGAGGCGTCCGGCACCTGGAGCTGATACGTTCATCATCGGCACGGCGATGTCGATCCTTATGGAGCTGGTCATCGGTCCGGAGAAGCACCAGCCATTCGACGACGACGGCACCATCCCGCCCAACCACCTCCACAACTTCGAGCACGCGTCCATCTCGCTGGCGCTGCTCCTCTTCGCCGCGGTCACCATCCACATGTACCGGGTCTGGGCGCCCATGCGTGAGGCGGTGTCGCAGCTCGTGGCCGCCGCGGCGTTCGCGCAGCAGCTGCTCATCTTCCACCTCCACTCGGCGGACCACATGGGCGTGGAAGCTCAGTACCACTGGCTGCTGCAGACGGTCATCGCCGTCACGCTCGCCACCACGCTGCTCGGGATCCCCTACCCGCGGAGCTTCGTGGTGAGCCTGGTCCGGTCCGCAAGCCTCGTTTTCCAGGGCGTCTGGTTCATCGTCATGGCCTCATGGGCATGATGCTGTGGACGCCGGCACTCATACCCAAGGGCTGCTTCCTCAACTACGAAGAAGGACACGAAGTTGTCCGGTGCCGCACTGACGAGGCGCTCTACCGCGCCAAGTCGCTCGTCAACCTGCAGTTAGTTCAGCTGGTACCTCACCGGCACAGTGGTACTCGTCGTCGTGCTCTACCTCCAGTTGGCCAGGCTCTACCCCGAGGAGCCACGCTGCGTGCCGCTGGTGAGGGGAAACAGCGGTGGGGTTGGTGTCAACAGCGATGGCGGGTTCAGATTGGGGAGGATGAACACGACGGCGAGGACGACCTTGAGGCCGTGAAACGTGCCTCCGGGCACCAGATAGGTGGAGCAAAGGCCATGGAGGTCGAGAGGTGAAGCCGAACTGGATTAGGGACGGCTGTGTAATGTGTAATCACAATGGAGTAGTAGTTTCCTTTTCTCCCTTCTGTAGGAATTTCTGTGGTGATTGACATGGCATTTATTCAGGGTAAATTCGGTGCTTGGCCATACAAAATTTGTTTATTGAGTCGTGTCTGATAAGGGTTCAAGTTTTATTAAAGTGGGCTTGCACTGTTTTCATCCAGGTGGGCGGCCATCCGGCTGTTGTTGTCCAGCACTGCATAAAACGTTGAGACCTATTTGAATGTATTCGTATCAACCTTAATTTATGTGTATTGGACTGGATTAGGACAGAAATTAAACTAAGTTATACACCAATCCACTTAAACACATATAGATTGAGATAGATATGAATAGATTGAGATAGATATGATTTCTCTTAGTGCCGAACTTGGATGGGTCGTGAATTCTTTTATAATTTCAATGTTTAACTTTGTAGGTGATCATCGTGAGAATAGCCTTGCAAGGATCATATTGATCTTGGTAATCCTAGGCTTAGTAATAAGATCATATGTTAGTATGTTGTAATATTGCCTCTTAACGAAAATCGTAGGCACGGTCCCAAAAAATAAGTTCTATGGGACAATCTTTGAATATATAATGACAACTTTTTTTGAACGGGGGAGTACCACGTTACCGTGTTCCCATGTACACCTCGCTATGTTTCTTAGATGTATTTGCACATAATTAGGCTAAATACTGGCAGACTGTTGCATGGATCGTGTGTAAAGAACTTAATGAAGTGCAATGATCTCTTTTTTTTTAACATAAGCTCTGCCTCTCAATTAAGATAAAAATAGGAGTTTATGTATAGAATGGCCAATGGCCTGAGGCCTCAAAGGGCACACACTGAACACACTGTCTCTGCTAGGGGAGCACTAGCTTAGGTGGGGACTAACTGAAAATGTTATTGAACACCCTCTCATGTAGTTCGATGTCTTCTTTGGCTCTGGAGGCCACCTACCTTGCGTCCATGAAGCTGTTCTGGAAGATCCTCCTATTTCTTTCTTTTCAAATGTTCCAGAACGTGTAGATTTCCACCCCATTGGTGTGTCGTCGCCTTTGCCTAGGGATTTTAGCAACCGCTTGTTCTCACCCAGCACCAATATCAAGTGGTTGGGTCTTCGGGCGCATGAGGTCGACATCGTAATGCTCCTAGGTTAAGATGAGGCCCCAAATTTCTTGAGCGAGGGGACACAACAAGCACAAATGGAGGGCAGACTCTAAAGGACCATCACACATGACACAATTCTCCTGGTGTGGCCAATTCCTTAGCTGCAAGTTGTCTGCTGTCAGGATTTTATTCTGTATGAGAATCCAAGCAAAGAGCTTGAATTTGTTCTCTGAGTGTGCTTTCCAAATTAGCTCCGGTAGGAATTGTCTGAATCTCCCTTGGAATTGGATGCGGTATGCTGACCTGGGGGTCCACTTCCAAGTGATTGAATCCTGCATGTCTAGCTGTAAATGGATGTTTTGAATTCTGAGACAGAGGATACAAACTCCTCTACATGAGTGGCTGTTGTGATCTTCCCTTGCAGGGAGTGAATCCATTTGTTATTTTGAAGCTCTTGTTGGACCGATCTATTTTTTCCTTCTGACTAGCTCAAAGAGATGCGGCGCTAGATTCCTAGGTGCTTCCCCATCCAGCCAATTGCGGTGCCAAAATTGCGCTTTCACTCTATTTCCAATAGTGATGATGGTCGAGGCATTGAAAAGCAATCTATCAGCCGGCTTGCAAGGCAAATCAACACCAGCACATGGCTTGGAGCCATCCACCCGGTCTTGCCAAAGCCAACGTAGACGCAGCTCTCTCCCAAATTTGTCCAAATCAGGTACCCCCAATCCACCATGGTCCCTGGTTTGGAGACCGTTTGCCACACAGTGCCCACATTTGCGTTCTTTTCCCCCTTCCACAGAAAGGACCTGCGAATTTTATCGATCTTTTTCTTGGTCCAGGCTGCATGGGGAAAACAGTAAGGTGGTATGTAGGCACGGATGAGAGCACCGAGGTGAACAACATTAGGCGTCCAACTTTGTTAAGGAGCTTGCCCTTCCAAGTTCCAACCTGGCAGCCTGTGAGCTGTGACCAATGCGTTTAATGAGTGGCTGCACATGGATTCTTTGAAGTGCAATGATCTCAACGAAGACCGTCTGAAAGGATCCTTGTCAGTCTAACGTATTACCTCTGTACTACTGATAAGAAATTCGAGAGGCCAGACAATGAACGAGAACGATTAACAAGTGTACTTCTCACTCAACAAGAACGAGAACGATTGACAGATTCAGTTTTCTCACTCAACAAGTCCAATTATTAGTATGGACGATATAGTTTCAGGTGATTTTCCCTGGCGTCCAAGACAATTATAATCCTCGTTTGGCAATGGAAAAATGTACTGAGACAAATTCTGCAAGTTGACAACGCATAGAGTGCATTTCCCGTGGGCTTGGGGTGTCGTTTAAGCGGAGCTTATTGCATTGACTGGTTAAGAAGTACAGAGATAATACGTTAATCGTTAGACTGACAAGGATCCTTTCTCGTTCATTGTCTGGCCTCTCAATATCTTATTAGTAGTACAGAGATAATACGTTGACTAATAAGGATCCTTTCGGACGCACTACGGGAAACAGTAGATTTGCCGAGTGCCAAAAATACTCGGCAAACGGTTTGTCGAGTGTTACACTCGACATACAGCACACGACATTGATTTGTCGGTAAACAGTAGTTTGCCGAGTGTTTTTATCGGGCACTCGGTAAAAATAAACTCTCGGTAAAAACAATTTGACGGGATGGAACGGTGACGTCGATTTTGCCGAGTGCACCACGGAAAAACACTCGACAAAGTTTCTCAAGTTTGCCGAGTGTCAGGAAGAAAACACCCGGCAAAATTTCTCAACTTTGCCGAGTGTCAACACGAAAACACTCGGCAAAGTTCCTCAAGTTTACCGAGTGTCAAACCAAAACACTCGGTGACATTTGTAAACTTTGCCGAGTGCCACGTCCATAACACTCGGCAAAGTTTAGACACTTTGCCGAGTGCCATGCCTAAAACACTCGGCAAACAAGCGAGCTACGGTCAGATTTTATGGTCACTTTGCCGAGTGTCCATTGGAATACACTTGTCAAAGCCAAAACACTCGGCAAAGAAGGTTCCCAGAATGATAGAAAATGGTCTCTTCGCCGAGTGTTTTACCTTGACACTCGGCAACTCCTCTGTTTGCCGAGTGTTACACTCGGTGAAGCGACCAAGACCCCCTTTTTACTAATCTGTCACATATAACGGACCCCTCTCAATTCAAAAAACCATGACAATTCACAATAAAACATCATCACAGGCATAATTATCACAGTAAACCATCACAAGTCACAATAAACCATCATCATAATTTACAATAAACCTCACAAGTCACAATAAACCATCATCACAATTTACAATAAACCATCATCACAAGTCACAACTAAGTCACAATAAGCCACAATGCAAATGCAATCACTGCGTAGGCCTCTTGGAACCTCTGCGACAAATCCGGTCTTGAGACTGATTATTTGATGCCGCCGATTGATTCTGCACAAAAGAGAAGAGATTGCATGTGTAAGCTACAGATATAAAAAAACTCAATGCAATCAGAAAGTATAAGTAGTGTCTTGAAAAAATACTTGCACGTAAGTATATATAGTACTAATAAAAAAACTCACTGCAAGACTCATCCAGTTAGCAGGCCAAAAAAATACAAGTAACCCAATAATGGCTCATCAACGTCTCAGTTAGCAGGCCTCTTACGCCTCGCCATCACTTGGGCCGTGTGCTGCAGCCTGCAGCTGCTGCGGAGTATTCGTTCCAGGAGCTTGAATCGCATACGTGTGCATACATGTGCTGCAGCAACGTAGAGCCAATCACGCTGACCTACTCACCTACAGCAGCGACTTTGGCCGCCGCAGATCCAGTGCAGTCACTGCTGCTAACTGCAAGATAGATATGGAACGGCTTGATGAGAGCCTCTTTTTTTCTTTACTTTATTCTATCAGCAGCTCTCTTTCTTGGAGGGAAACGGCAGCAGGAGAGAAGAGTTTGGCGCTATTTTCTTGCTGGGAAGAGAAAAGCAACTGGACTGGTCATTTGTCCGATGGCCGGAGAAGGAAAATAGTTTAGCCCTGTTGCATTAAGTTTCAGAAAAGGGGAAGCATAGTCTGCTCCAAAATTGGTTCAGGTGCCTGATGAGCAGAGATGTTCAGTCATGACACTTACAGTTCGTGGACTTGATTTAGTTAAGCAATACAAACTCTTTAGTGAGTTTTTATTTAGTGCAAAAGCAAGTTAACTGACAGTTGGGAGCTATCAAAAATCTGTAATGTTAATTAGTATTATCAGCACGACGTATGTAAAGTAGAAAATCAGGGCCATGTTCAAAGATTTGTATTAATATTTTATTTGGGCTTCAAAGTTTATGTGAACACCGATTGGGATGATAGATCATGTAGTTTCTCTAAATATTTAAAGTCCAACAAAGGCAGCATATTAGAGTGTACTACTGTTAACTCTCACTATGGAGTTTCTGCATGTTCCTTCTGCATGCATCTAACATTGCTTAAGCCTGGACATGACAGTGTAAAACAGACCAGAAGCTTTTCAAATCATTGCTAATTGGCATGTTAATACGTATGCATCTCCCTGTTTGGTAAACTTTGATGATGAATTGACAAACTGCCATAATGAATTAGAGAGTGGTGGATAATTATGGATGAAATTAAGTATCCGAAATATCACTTTCATCAAAAGTTGCGTGCAGATATAAGTTAGAAAACTGCAGGAACATCACACATTCTCTTCATATTTAATTGCTCAAAAAACAGTGCACGGGTCACCAGTGCACCGTAGTTCAAGATCATTTCTCCATGAGGATATAATCTATTTTTTTCTGAAACTGTCGACAGTAGTTCAAGCACTGAAACTTAGTTGGAGATCATTTCTCCATCAGTG